CAAGCTAATTAAAGGGTGTGCCCCTCCAACATACAGTTAGGGAGAGAGAGAGAGAGAGAGAGAGAGAGAGAGAGAGAGAGAGAGAGAGAGAGAGAGAGAGAGAGTGAGAGAGAGAGAGAGAGAGAGAGAGAGAGAGTAAGAGTTAAATATGTAAACAGATAAAACGATATAAAAATGAAATAGAGATAGATGTAGAGACTGAAACAAAGACAGACAGACAGACAGATAAACAGACAAACAGATAGATATACAGACAAAGAGACAGAGACGGAGTGCACGTTTGAATGTGTTTATATATTTGCGTATGTAAACCATAATCTCTCTTCGCCTCCCACTCTCTCTTCCTCCGCATCGCGCTTTCCCCCTTTCTTCCCCAGCCTCTGTCTCCTTCTCTCTCTCTCTCTCTCTCTGTCTCTGTCTGTCTGTCTCTGTCTCCGTCTCTGTCCATCTATCTGTCTCTCTGTCTTTGTCTTCTCTCTCTCTCTCTGTCTTTGTCTTATGTCTGTCTGTCTGTCTCTCTCTGTCTCTGTCTGTCTGTCTGCCTGTCTCTCTCTCTCTATCCCTCTCTCCCTCTCCCTTCCTCTCTCTCTCTCTCCCTATGTGTAAGTGTCTCTGTGCCCGTACTATCTGAGAGCGTGCCTGTGTGCGTGTGTGCGTGTGTGCGTATGTGCGTGGTGGCCGAGCGCGTGATGAGAAGCCTGGACGACACCTGTTGCCCCCGGTTACGCAGGAGGGGAAAGAGTGGGGGGGAGGGGAGGTGGGGGGGGGAGAGAAGCCGAACAGGGGTAGAGGAGGAAGCGGAACAGAGAAGGGGGAAAGGAGGGGAGAGGAGAAAGAGAAAGGGAGGGGGTGGAGAGGGAAAGGAGACAGGGAGGGGAATGGAAAAAAGGAAAGAAGAGAAGAAAGGGAAAAGGGAAATGGGAGAGGAAAGTGTGATAGGGGAAGAGAAGGAAGCGGAGCAGAAAAGGGGAAAGTGGGGGAGAGGGGAAGAAGACAAGGTAGGGACAGAACAGGGAAAGGAGAAAGTAAGGGAAATAAAAAACAAACAAACAGAAGAAGGGAAGAGAGGGGAAAATGCTGGTTAAAAGAGAAAACATAAATACAAACGCACACACACACACAAACACACACACACACACACACACACACACACACACACACACACACACACACACACACACACACACACACAAAGAGATGAGGGAACGAGTGAGAGCTAAAGATAGGGAGCCAGAGAGAGGGGAAGAGTGGGAAGAGAGGGGAAGAGAGAAAGGGGAAAAGGGGAAAAGAGGAAAACCCTTGCTTCCAGCTTTCCAGCGTCACCTGTTGAGCTTCCGCCGTGGAGGTAGGGGGGGGGGGGGTTGGGGGTTGGGGGGAGAGGGCGAAACTAAGGGTATAAGGAGGAAAGAGAGACGGAAGAGGGAAGAAGACAAGGGAAAGAATAGTGAACAGGATGAGGACAATAAGAAAGATCTGTGAAGGTAAAGAAAACGTACACATTCACACACACACACATAGACATACACACACACACACACACAAACAATCACACACACAGACACACTCACACAAACAAACACACAAACAAACACAACCCCCCCCCCCCACACACGCACAAACACAAACAAACACACACACACACACAAACACACACACACAAACAAACAAACACACACACATTATATTCCAATGCAGACACCGACAGCAAGCCAACAGAATATTTCCTTTCTCCAGGAAAACGAATTTGGTAAAAAATATCAATATTAGGTTGTTATTACAAGAAACTCATACTCGGCAACTGCCTCACTCAGACCGGTGTTGCCAGGCGCTGTTCATCGCGTTTCTGCCGACCGAACTGAGAGATCATAATTTGTTTATATCACTTATATACTAGTTTGTGAATATTACAGGTTTTATGAATTCTGTCTCGGGGTGAATGTTCTTGTTTGCGTGTCATGCTTGTTGATTTTCATTGTTTTTATTGTTATTATTATTGTTGTTATTATCATTATTGTTATTATATTATTATTATTATTATCATTATTATTATTATTATTATTATTATTATTATTATTATTATTATTATTATTATTATTATTATTGTTATTATTATTATTATTATTATTATTATTATTATACTTGTTATTTTTGCCATCATCATCATTATCTTCATCTGCCTCATCACCATCATCAGTATCATTATTATCATCATTATTATTATCATCATTTTTACTTTTTTTTTTTTTTTTTTTACCTTTGAGGCTGTCTTTATCTGTATATTGATCTGTTTGCCTCTATGTTTGTATGTATTCGTGGGGATTCGTGTGTGTTTGTGTGTGTGTGTGTGTGTGTGTGTGTGTGTGTGTGTGTGTGTGTGCATGCATGTATGTCATGTCTGTACATGTGTGTATTTTGTATCTATCTGGCCTCCCCCATCTCCCTGCTGTCTCTCAGTTACCCTCTTTTCCAAATTTATGTTAATCGGTCCCATCTCTCCCTC